CAAGTTTCACAAATAAAACCCATGGGTGAAATACAAGAATCTAAACGTATGAAGTGTAAATGTTCATTATGTTTGCATGAATTTGAATTAAATTTTGAATTTAGTGAATTTAATTTATTTTCTTCTGCAAAACATTCAAAATCATATTACATTTCAACGATACAATATTTACAAAATATAACAAGTTTTTGTTAACGTATACACAATATAATTATAATAAAAATGTTGATATTTAAAAAAAAAATGTAAATGATAACACATTTTCAAGAATTATCCAATAATATATCTGCAAAAGAAGAAGGGCTATCACAATACGCGTTTGCTTGATAGCGTGATAGCTTTCTGAGAATAAAGTGTAAACACGTGTTCTGATATTTGAACTCTAATCGGACTAGAAATAAACCTGTCATTCAATTTTTTCCATCTATTTTTCACCAAGAATAAACGTGCCATTATGCTAAATAGCAAGGTGTGTCGTTCTCTTCTTCAACTTAAATAATAAGTTTAGATTGTAAAAACCCAAAAGGTGTCGGAGTGTTGCAGTGTTGCAGTGTTTAAAAGTTGTCATTAAAAAGTGTTTATTTTTGGTGTTTACTGCTTAGAAAATAAACAATTTTTTGTATTGTTAACAGTTTACCAATGTCTCAAAATAATAATTGTCTGCGTTGTAGCTACCCCTTGCTGATTCCCCTACCCCCCCCCCCCCCCCCCCCCCCCCCACCCCCATTTAAAAGGACTTCGCCGCTCGGCTAAGGAGAACTAGTTTTCCAAAGTCAGATGGAGTATATGCCTAGTGATTATGTAATTTCATTATGAATGAAACTTTTGTGAATAGTAGCTCGTGTGATAAACAGGAAAGCATTCGTATTACGAGGTTTTAGCAATTTGTTAGTGTAAAGTCTTCCTCCTGCAACTCGCCTCCCCCTAATTGGTGTACTGGTTAATTTGCATGTGATTTAACAGAATGGCTCCCCAAGTGCCCCCTCATTGGCTTGGATCCAAGATACGCCACCAAATTCAAGAATATGTCATGGGACATTGCTTTTAGGATACTCTTTCAAAAGGAATAGAAGAATGAAAAAGATCACATTTTCATGTTTAATTTTTACAAGAACCGATCACTTTCTTAAAACACAATATCTCATTTCATTTCCCATAACTATGAGTCCAAGTTATTCTTGCTTTACTGGGAAAACTTCAAGATCATATACTATGTAGTTGTTTCCTGAGGATATACGATGCTAAATTATGCTGAATACTACCATAAGGCTCAGCTTCAGCCCAACTTCCATGCATGCTAAGGCAAAAAAAATAGGGAATGCTTTCCCTCAGCGACACCTTTTACTTCACCTGGGTCGTTATCACCACTAACATAATTAAAGTAAATGTTGATATTTCGCCAAAGTCCGTGGCAGGGATTCGAACCCCATAACTTGTGGTCCATTCTAGATCACGACACCTTTCTGGCAAATTGAGTTCAAAACACTGGTATTCAATGTCGATATTAGTGATTATGATAATGACTATTATACAGACCTAGTTTTTTCATACTCAAGTAAATTCTCTGATGAGAGTTCCTTACGATTTTTTGCGTTTTGTTTAGCAGACTGTAAAAAAAGAAGGAAAGTGTGGAATCTCTGGACCATCTTTTACATTGCGTGCAGAGGCATGATTCAAAGATATGAGTATAAATGACAATTTGATTACATGTCATGCGAAATATTATACGAGCAGTGATACCATGCGAAGTGAAAGTCGATCTATTATTCAGTCACGATTAAATATTTGGTGAAATAATTATTTGCATGTCATGTTGACAAGCAAACAATAATTATGCATTAAGTGCAGTCAAAAGTGAAAGTCAATCATTTTATCATTAACCTGTGAAAGGAATTAATAGTCTGGCAATGACATAAAATTATATTTCTTGTTGCCATGGCATGTAGATTAATCAACATCATGTATATTTTTGTTTATATACTTTCAAACAGTATTAGCTTCATTATCCTCGAAGCGATGTGTACATATAGGCAAGGGGCACCCCTCCCGTCGAATGGAATTAATAGTCTGGCAATGACATACAATTATATTTCTTGTTGCCATGGCATGTAGATTAATCAACATCATGTATATTTTTGTTTATATACTTTCAAACATTATTAGCTTCATTATCCTCGAAGCGATGTGTACATAAAGGCAAGGGGGCACCCCTCCCATCGAATGAACACCCCCTCCCCCCCCCCCCCCCCCGAGAGAAAGAGGGGGAGAATGAGGAAAAGAAAGAAAGGGAGAAAAAGAAGGAAAGAGGAATAGAGAGAGGGGGGAGAGAGAGAGAAAGGAGAGATAGGGGAGAAAGGGGTGAGATGCAGAGAAGACATATCATTCGCCCACTATTATAACCTCATCGGCAATGTGCATCCATTTTCATCGATTGTGAATTTCGCCGAACGACCTGGCAACGCCAGTGTGCTTACCTTTCAGAAATCATGTTCAGATTACGTAATACGTCGATGTCACGTTCACCCATTCAATACGTGACGACATACGAAAGTAGAAAGTAAAAAGTATATTTTGCAAACAGCTATCATAGAGGGAATATTGAAGAGTAATGGGTTCAAAGAGCCAATGGTATCGGAACACAAAGGAATTTGTTATATATAAAATCAAGAAATAATGTTTTAAAGGGCAACCTCGCCCTTGTGATAAGTTGCTGAAGCAGCAAAGTTAGAGAAACAAAATAAATGCGATTTTTTTTTTTTTTTTTTTTTTTTTTTTTTTTTTCCTTCTTTTTTTCTTCTTTTTTGTCCTTCTTTTTTTCCCTTTTTTTTTCCTTCTTTTTTTTCCCTTCTTTTTTTCTTTCTTCTTTTTAATATGAGATCACTACATTGAGGAACTTATCTTCCAGCGAGAATAATTACAGCGAGAGACACAGGAAATGTACCAACATGTAAATTACCTTCAAAATTATTTAAAATGTTCGTATCATCTGCATTAAATATGTACATTTATCATATCCCAATATGAATACAAAATCTTTCTTTTTTATGGTTAGTTAGTTGATTCTGTTTCAGCCTCTTTGTGACCCGAGATCCTTATGAGTCATGTTTTATGAAGATTTAATCATTCATTTTGTACCATTCATACAAAAATGTATAAGCGATGATGAAAGCAACTACTATTCAATTTCTTTTCAATTGAATTTCTCTTAATCGGTTGAATTAAATGCCACTCAGGCATATCAACAAGGAAACCGTATCAATAATGTTTGGAACTCTGTGGAATTATTAGGGTTACTTGTCGGAGTTTTGCTGTTGTTGTTTTTTCCTCGCAGATTCATGATTCCGAAGCTAAGTCTATCCGAACTCTTCATTATTCCAAAGGTTTATATTTCCGAATTTTCGTCATTCCGAAGCTTCGAAATTTCCAAAACAGATTAGGGTTCATATTTCTCAGAATTATATGAAATCCTATATCATTTTTGAAATTATGTAATTTTTTGATGTAATTTCAAACAATGATCCTCTCGTTTTCTGAATTATGAACCTTCAGAATTTTTTACGAACCTTGGAAAAAGAGTGCCCCTAGATAAATTTGAAGGTTAATCTTTGTGGTTGTCACGAAATACAAGGAGGATGCTAAAAGAGGTCCTATAATCAATCTCCCTCTCCCTCTCTCTTTCTCTCTCTCTCTATCTCTCTATCTCTCTCTCCCTCATTCTATCTCTCTCTTTCATGATCTCTCACCTCATCTCGCTGTCTCCCTCTCTCCTATCACTCCTTATGATTTCACCTTTTAACAACAAAAGTAAGTAGAATTTTTTTATGTGGTTTTGTTTCTTGAAGGATAGGCCTACAATATATTTATTTCTATTTTCCCCCGAAAGCAGAAGATAATTTATGAAATAGTGATTATGTAAACAAATCGCACCTTATATCATCTCAGCTATTATTACCCCCCCCCCCCCCCTCTCATTCCTTTTCTATATTTAAATTACGGTAGCTGTGAATGCGGGCTCCAAATTATATCCACGTTTTATATCCACGACCGGGTATAGTGTTTGCTTAGGCCTATTTCTAATCCTAACAGCACAGATGACCATTATTATTCAGTCGCCAGATATGTCGTATATTCATATATCATCGCGAATTAATTCAATAGACCGGTTTACTAACATTCAAATTTAAGAATGTTTCTGTCCTGCATGGGGACCTAGTGACGAATTATTCCATTAACATGTTATTAATGAATGAACTACAAATACTCTGAATCCAGTCTGCTTTCGTTACTTGTTGCTATGTCGGGCAAACCTCGGGCAAGCTTTTGGGTGGTCATGAACTTCTTTTGCTTAAAAAGTATGCATCACATTTGAGTAAATTAGTAAACCGGTGTATAGAGTCTCGTTCCTTAAACAAACAAAAAAGCAAAGCATTACTTTCCCATCATTGATTCACTCAAACTTCCTATTGGCTCAAATCGTGTTCATATTATAATTATGTCAGCGAAAGAGGACCCTGGGCATGGGAGTTTTCGGCTGCATAATTAAAAATGTGACTGAACGGGACGATTTGGTATATTGCTGGCGTCGATGCGAGAGAGTTCTAGCGAATAGGAATGATGAGGAGTGTAGAACATACGGACATTATTCCTCGAAACCGCATCCTTTAGATCCCTCCCAGACATCACCATAAAATAACAGACTGTGCACCGCATTTGAGGTAATTTACACGTTGCATTATGGTTTGTTTACACAGCAGGTGACACTGTTGACGTCATGAATAGGAGACGAAGCACGCCTAAGAACAACAAAATTCGTACACGACCATGTAGATCAGAAATTAAGTGTTATACTACAAATGGGTAGTTTCCTAATGTGTATCAACTCACTTGAATTGAATTGCATTATAAAAACAAATCATGTTGTTTTTCGGTCATTCTAACGAAGGTAAATGGGAGAAAACTGAGTGCATACTCCTCATTCCAGCGCATGGATATTTCCATTGTTTATCGTTGTCAGGTCCGGCGAGAAGCCGTACACAGGCTCAATGTCTTTTGCATTCAAGATTCGAACAGATTTCGGTTTCTTTTACGCCTTGATGATTTGTGGGAGAGCATCTCCAACAAGGTAAGGACCATTCCCATCAATTTTCAACTTTAAATTACTGCAAAATGCTGTTATCGCCATAATATGTTATATTGTATTATGCATTTTGTTGTTATTTGTGCCGTCAATGGCTTTCTACTCGGATAAATAATTTGCATAGGAAATACACGTACAGTACACTTCTGCACACCGCGCAATTTGTAATGCCCCTCGTGGGTGAACACAACATGTGACCCGAGCCGAGGTTGGTGCAAATTAATTTTGCGCACTGAAGGGACATTTTATTTTAGGAAAAATTCATGACATTCTTAAAGAGTAGTGTAACGTTCAGATAAACCCCTTGTAATTTTACGGAATTAAAGAATGTTTTCCTAATGGTATAAATAGTATTCTCTAAAACCTAACACGCGCGGGAATAATCAGCGGACTATTGTGGTTTTCTACGCCGAAGGTATCGGCGCTGTAACCGTGTTGATATGATGGCCAAGATACGGACCTAGATGAGCTGAGCTGAGCGTGAGGTTTTACAGAGTGAGAGCTGGGGGGGGGGGGGGGGGGGGGGGGATTGTTGATTTTGGCCATCTTTGATGATTTATAGGAGAACAACCCCAAAGAATAGTTGTAGATGTTCTGAAAAACAAGATGATTTCCTGCCTTCCTTCTGATGTACAAATTTGACATTAAATCTTAAGTCAGAAAAGAGATTTTTTTTAAAGATAGGGCCTAGACCTAGGCAGGGTCTAAGAGTCTACAGTCTTCTATTTAAAGTCGTTAATTTTAAATGAAGATTTCTGGGCATGCTGTATTATATGCCATTTTCTTGAAAATGTGACATACCAGGCGGAGTTGTACCTGTATTGTGCACCAAGCTTTAATTGGAAAGAATTTTTAATTCAATAACATTGAAAAATATATAGACACCTAATAATAGGGTAACAACTAACCATTCAACTTTTAAAGCTCATTTATTTAATAAATACTAAAATATAGTGATTTAAAAATCTACTTCATTTCTGCAAAACCTTCACCCCAGAACAACACTAATTAAATTTATTCATGCAATTTGCGTTCTGGCAATTGGAGTACAAAGGATATAAATACTATTAGCAGGTGAATGAAATATGCTTCAACACCACAAACACCTGGGAAGGAAGCATCCATAAATTTGAATACTGTTACATTTACCGGTAGTCGATAAACGATTCCGCATTAAATTTAGTACCTCATGCAATCAAGAAAATGGCAATGCCCAGCATGGCTTACTGACAAACTGTACTTTATTCTTGCTTTATAAATATGCCTTTCTCATAAACTTTGATGGGAAATCTCGTAGACTGATTGGCAAGAATCAGAGCTACCAAGTGTCACACAATTCGAGGGTCTGAAAACGCTCTCATGCACGACGCGTGCTAGATTTCGAAAAAACGCTATACCTTATACGTGTGTTATACCCTCGCGCACCGAATCATGAAAATGTCACGCATTGCTGATCTTTGAACTTGGCATCTCTGAAGATTGCCTAGTTCTCCTTTACCTGTAATGGGTTACAAGAAGGCTATACAAGTATTTTTAAGGCAAGAATCACAGAAAGTCACAAGTAGACTACCAGGTATACCAAAAATGTATTTCTAAGAGGATGGGGGTCGGGTACATGTCCTGACACTCGTCTTATTAAAGACTTTTCTTTTGCCTTCGGTCGGATTTAACTGAAACTGTTTACCAAATAGCACTAACCATCATGAATATTTTCCAACATACATCTTGGAATATTTATAAAATGTTGCTTGTGAATTTCTTCAAACTGCTGTTTTAGAATTGAATGTCTGGATACACAATTTTTCTGGACACAATCTCTGGGTATAATTAATAAATGAAAGAGGTGCAGTGTTATCAAACAGTGCTAGTGGCTAGTGCAATCCATGGCTAAGTGGCATATATGCTTGCCTTGGCAATTCTGGTGTATAGACTGACTATGATGGGATGTCCAAAGTTTGCAGACGTTTAAAGAGTAATTAGAAATGTGATTTTTGATCCATGATTTCTCATATTCTATACAAATTAATTTTAGATCAATTATAAACAAATGGACGGCAAAATGCTAAGCTACAAATTGTGCAACTAGAAAATATATCAGCACAAGAATTCAACAACACAATCTCATTTTCTATGTTGGATCGGCATGCGCTAAAACTGAATGAAAAGTCATAAAAACATTGAGTCAGTGGTCGAGTGCACTAGAGTTTACACTTTGCAGCTAATTTTCAAAAGATCAATCCACCTAAGGTAAAATAATTGTATAAATTGCAAGGCAAAATATACAATCTGGTGGTATTACTTTTTACTCACAATTTTGATGACATCATTCTTCTCTCAAAATAAAGATTAGCAAACCCTTGCCAGTAATTTTTTTGTTTTTTTTTGTTGAAAGGATGCATGCAGTGTAACTGCTCAAAAGTTGCTGATCTTCTGTCAATATTTTCATAAATTTGCACCCTGTTCCGAAGAATTTTTGTTTTGTCATTGGGTAATTTTATGTCCCTCTTTCCATTGGGGATATCAGATTTTGGAAATATATTGTGTGAATGTTAGAAACTTTGATGCTAAGTGTCTCTGGTTTTAAGTAACTTCTTATAAGTTTGATCACATCATCCTATCAAATCAATCTGCTATCTTACCAAGATAGATTTTAAATTTCATGGAACTCACAAACATTTGTTGAACGTTTTCCTTGAATTGTGCACAGAAAGAACAAAATCTTAAAAGAGTTTGAGTTAGCAAAGTAATTAACATTCAGTGCCTCCAAAGAAGATTTTGACCTCTTTTTTCATTGAGGGTGCAAGGTTATACATGTACCCTGTTTACTGTAGATGAAAATGACTTTTTACCAGTATTTTTATTTGTGTGTGTATGATTTAAATACAAAGGGTTATTCATTGTCAAACTTATGACAGTTTTATTTTGTTTAACAGCTATCTTACGCGATATTGTTCGAGCCACCCCGCCCCCTTCCCTTTACAATTTTAACGTCCTAAAGAAAGAAAGAAATATTCCTTTTTTGAAAATGCATCTTTTCTTTTCCCCTATATTTCGTCATCTCTTTCTTTCAAGTTCAGATCAGAGGCTCATTGTAACCTGATACTAGATGGGAAAATTTGGTAGTAAGCTAGCTAACCTTTTGACCCCTGAGGAATGAATGGGCGACTGCCATGAATGGCAGCAAATCGGTTCTGTGTATTCAGGGATTTCACTTCTGTGGTCCATATATTCCTTTTTCCTTTTCCCCTTTGTTCTTCAAAAGAAGAAAAAAGTGCAGCAGCCTTTACCATGAGATGTGGTTTACATCTTGCCTGGAGTGAAGAAAATTGATGGGCAATTAATTCATCTAAGAAAAAAATAGAAATAATGAGGAAACATTTTTCTTAAAATATGTTTGGAATAAATGTCAAGACAAATGGAGTATCAACTTATGGACTAAAGTTAGTATCTACAAAAATATATACATGTATACTGTATGTTGGCATTTACACAATTACACATGGTGGGAATATATTTGTAGACCCACGAAACCATTTTTCTATTTCTGGTTTATACATGTACATGTATGTTTGAAAATGAAGATAACATCTCTTAAATGCACAATAAAATTTTCTTTTCATTGAAAGTCTTTTAGATGATCCCAAAATCATGAACGTATGATGAGGCTTCACATAATTTTTTTCTTTCTTTTGAGGTAAAGATGAAAAGACTTGGTTTAAAAAGATTGTTCCCATTAAATCAAGTGCATTTTGCCTTGCACAGGAAATTGAATCCACTTTCAATATATGAAAATTTGTGAGCAAGCGGGTGTGTTTGTTTACCCAAGGGTTGTTTTTTTGTTCGCGCTGTTTACCTAGCCAAATGGCTGCTAGAGCCTGTTCATGGAGAGTGAGAGAGAGAGCCTAGGACAACAAAGCGCGCTCAATGCTCAGCTGTCAAGCTGCACATATTGCTGTTTGTCCACAAGAGTTGTCGACTGCTGTTGCTATTTACTTTGCTCGATTCGTCATTAGTATATCCAATTTTTCCCCTCCATCTTTACCTCCTCTATTCTTGTGCATACAAGACACAGAAAAATGAGGGCACAAGGCATGTTTCATTCAATGGATGTCGGATTCATAAAACCACCAGAGTTCCTATTGTACTGGCAAAAGCAGTATACACTATTACATGTTGGCCTATGTTTGTTTGTTTCGTCTGTCTATGTTGTCTATTGTTCTTCTATGATAATGTACATGTACAGTTTACTCAGTTGGCATCTACCTAATTATTGTTAAAGCATCAAGTAAATCGAAACCATCATATAATATAAGTTGGTCTGAATTGAAGCCACCCCCCCCCCCCCCATTCATATAAAGAAACAAATTAGTTTGAGATGCACTTGATAAGGTTTTGATTTGCTGTATCTGTTTTATCACCAGTTGGTCATGATGGTGTCATTGTTGGGCTATTTCTGCAATTGTGAACTAAATATTCCTCCAAATAATGAAAAAAATGTATGAAAATACATGTATGTCTGTTCTACTGCTAAACATTTGATAAAGAAATGATATGTTAATGATTTTTTTTTAAAGAAATACTTAGTATGCAACAAGTACAGTGTAGTCTATAAACCTCAAACATTTGCCAAACAAAGAATTCCCTGAATCCTAATACTCAGTGATTTCTCTGCTAAATGCCCTTTTGCCAAATGTTCTTATGGGAGGTTTCCTTTTCTTTTCTTTTTATATGTTTTTATAGAAATGTTCTCAACTTTCAGAGGTTCATAACTATAGTATTCTTAGTCCTACTTATTTCAAACTTCTCCTATTGGTCAAATAGATATGAGGGTTTAATTCTACTTGAATTTCATGTTTATCTACACACTGTACATCACAATAAGAAAGTACAAGCACTTCAAGCCCCATCTCCTTCTGAGAATAGAATGAAGCCAGATCCTCTTCAAAATTTGTTTGGCTGCTTTGGCATTGTGGTTTCTGATTGGT